AAAGCTTTTATGCCAGACCCATGGTTGAGACTGCACAAGCTCCTCTGCCTCTCTATGCTTGCCTATCTGTGAAGCAGGCTGATGAGACTGTGCTGCTCCTCCAAGGCTTCGAGGAAGATGGGCATTGTATACATAATCCATGCCCAGAACAGCCTCCTCCACGTGCATTCAACCATTCCATATTTGTGGTGGAGACTGGGGCTGAATTGGAGCCACCAGTGGAGCAGACACAGCCCTGGCCCTTACAGGGTCTGCTCTAGAGAGACAGTAGTCTGTCCACACTAACATGGCAATGTATTGTATAATTGCTATGGTAAATGGATTCCTTATAAGTAAAGTAATAACTCTGCTTTGCCTAGATTTAAAAAAATCTAAATGCCTCTGTATCATAAATCTAGTAACTACTAGACTGGGAGATGACTCGATGGGTAAAGCACTTGCCTCACAAGTGTAAGGACCAGATTTCAGATTCCTAGCACCCATGTACATGCTGGTCAGGCATGACAGCTCACCTGCCATTCCAGCGAAGGAAATGGAGAGAACAGGTCTCGTGAGCAAACTGGCTAGCTAGCCTGGCTAAATCAGCAAGCTCCAGGTTCAAATGAGAGACCCTGCCTGGCTTAACCTGAGAAAAGGTAGAGGGCAATTAAGGAAGACACCCGGTATCAACCTTTGGCTTCCACATTCACAAGCTCACATGCCTGTGCACCCACACTTGAAAACTAGTGTGTACACACCCATATGCAGACAAAACAATAAAAATTAGCTACCATTTCTGCACAGTCTGTGTGTGTGTGTGTGTGTGTGTGTGTGTGTGAGAGAGAGAGAGAGAGAGAGAGAGAGAGAGAGAGAGAGAGACTGCTGCCCACATCTTGGGTACTGGTCCCCAATGCTCCTGTGATCCTCTGAATTCATCCATGACTCCCTGCACTAAGACCTCATTTTCTGCTTTAATAGCAACTTGGGTGATGATGTGTGTGATGTCTGGATCTGAAATAGAGGAAGGAGCTGTATCTTCTCAGTACAGGGACTACCCATCATCAGCACCTGCTCCCTGGCAGTACACAGGAAATAGTCACTCAACCAGTGGCTTAGTGTTACAACGCAGTGGCTTGTATCTGCCTCTCTCTTCCTTCTTGGAAGATGCCAAGCAATAACTGTTTGCAGCTCTTCTAGATCCAACTGGAAGCAACCATCAGGACCACCGCAGGACTAAGGGCACTGGACTCTGCTCTCAGCACATCCACTTACCAATTCCCTCTCACCTGGAGTAGCTCCGCTAAAAGTACTGCAAAGGGTTTCCAGGTGGCCAGGCTTTGTGACAGAATTCTTCTCGGGCCTACATTCAGATTCTGTTTCCCGCTTCATCTTCCCAAGGCCCCTACCTCTGTTTTTTGGGGAAAAGCACCAAATAGGTCTAAACATAGATGCATGGAAATCTCGGCAAAAGAAGAGCCTTTTCCTGTGGCAGTGAACACCTCAGCATCCTCTCTGTCTGTCACCTGAGGAGAGACTGTGAAGGGGCAAATAATTCCAGCAGTAAAACAGTCTGGGGGGGCTGGGGGATAGTTCACTTGGTACAGTTCTTGCCTTGCAAGTGAGAGAAGCTGAGTTCAAGCTCCCAAATTCATGTCTTAAAGGAAGGAAGGAAGGACCCAGAGTGATGACTTGTACTTATGATTCCAAGGACAGGGAGGAGGAGACAAGTGGATCCAAATAGACCTTGTCTCAAAAAGGGGGCAGGGCCTAAAAAGTACCCCTCCCCCCCCAGGAGTCTCTCCCCTGGGGTAGCTGCAGGTATATTCTGAAGGGGTAGCTGAGAACCAACCACCCCATCTATAATGAGCTGTTCCAACTTTCCCCAGTGTCCAGCTTGGAGGACAGGGGACAAAATTACAAAGAAGACCAAAACAAAATTCAAGGCCAGTAAGGGAGACAAGACTGGCACACTGTGTAGCATAGACCACCATCAGGTACCACAGAAGGTCTAAGGGATAAACCTCTGTATCCTGAAATCATTCCAGTAATTCTTAGCCATTTCTTACCAAGAGGGAATAACATTCACAGACCACAAGAAAGCTACTGCTCTTTCCTCTAGCATTCCCACTCAGGGAGTGCTTGCTTACTAGTGGGCACTTTCCAGCCATCTAAAGAACCTCCCAGTCACTGGAGTCTGCCCACGGTAGACTAGAAAGTGTAAGAAATGGATGGGGTAAATTCAAAAAGATCCTGAGGGAACAGAAGTAGAAAAGGCAAGTCTACTGATTAAATCATTCATTTAAAATAGACCGACTCCACCAGGGAACCAGTGAGCTGAGTCCACCCTGATACTATCAAAGTGTGTTCTCAGAAGCCCAGTGTTCACAGCTTTCCAGCCTGAGTCTGACACCCCACACACAGAGGGACACTGGAAGGGAAGGGAACTGCCACAATCAACCTCTAAGAAATATAAAGACCTGGGTTTATAGCTCAGTGGTAAAGTTTGGATAGCATACAGGAGGCTAGGTTCAGTGGTCAGTTCTGAAAGAAAGGAGTGGGAGAGGGGGAGGGAGCGAGGCTATGAGTCAATTGCATATAGCAATTCATTTTTACTTTTCCAGTTCAAAATGTGATGTCCATTAGAAAATAGAAAGACAAGCCCGGAGGTGGTGGTGGAGCACGCCTTTAACCCCAGTACTCGGGAGACAGAGGCAGGTGGATCTACAAAGCAAGTTCCAGGACAGCCAGGGCTGCATAGAGAGAACCTGTCCCAAAATGAATGAAAATCAAATAAATAAGTAAATGAATGATGAATAAACAAACTAACCATCTTGTTGTCTTAATTGCATTCTCAGTCAGGAAGGGAGGAAAGTAGGGCTGGGATATCAAGGCTCATTCCAGGTGACTCATTTCTTCTAGGGAGGCTCTGGCTCTTAAAGACATCACAGCCTTCCCAAGCAGCAGCCCCAGCTGGGAGCCAGGTACTCAAACACATGGGCCTATGGGAGACATGTCATATTCAAACCACCACAGAGATAATACCATGCGTTGTAGAAACCCAGGCCCAGAGTGGTGGTGGGCTTTCCCCAGGCCCTACCTCCAAAGAGTAACTCAGTACAATTCTGGCCCTGCCTTCTGGAGTTCTTTCTCCCCATCACAAGCTGCTTCTGATTGGTCAGCCAGCAGTCTTTTCACCTCTTCACATCACCTTTCTAAATGGGATGTGTCTGAAGTGAACAGCAAGGGCCAGGAATAGTGCCAAGTGGTAGTGCACTTGCCTAGCATGCACGAGGTCCCAAGTTTGATTGCCAGCAATGCAGCCAAAACCAAAGAAAGTAAATAAAACTGTTTCTTCTACCAAAATGAAGAGTAAAATCAGGCTTGGCAAAGCCTTTCGGGCATCCATTCCACTGTGATTTTCCTAGGTGCATAACCGATGGACAGAGCTATTAAAAGTCAGCCCTACCCCTCCAATCAGATGGAGGAGCTATGATCACCCCAGGCATTTCTGAGGGACTTTTCAAAGAGCATCATTAATTCTGAATAAAGCTCTCCCAACATTTTCCAATTAATGACTTGACATTCCTGTTTTGTGTTAAAAAGAATTCCTCTGTCATTTAATTAAAACAAAAAAGAATCCACTTTTAAAGGTACATGCACTTGTAAAAGTAAAACAAACTACAGAAGCCTTTCCTATCGATTTCTTTAAGTTTGACCCCTTTCCTAGTCCTCACATTGTGTGTATGTGTGTGCACATGGGTATAAATGCATGTGTGTGGAGTCCAGAGTTCTGTGACATTAGGGGTTTTCCTCAATTGTGCTCCATCATATTTTTTTGAGACAGGGTCTTTCTTTGAACCTGCAGTTCTACTGATTCAGCTAAACTGGCGGGCTGTTAAGACATTCTTCCCTCTGCCAGTTCTGGCTCCGCCATGAGCCAGTACTATGTAGATATGTTTTCATTCTTTAGCTTGTGGGATCCTCACCAGGGGTCTTATACAGTAGGACCTAAGGCTGGGGATGTGATTCAGTTGGTAGAATGCTTGCCCAACAAGTACAAAGCTGTGGGCTTCATTCCCAGATCTATATAAACCAGGGGTTTTGGTTCCTGCCTCTAATTCCAGCTCCTGGGAGGTTCCGGGAGAAAGATCAGAAGTTCAAGGCCATCCTCAGCTACTCAGGAAGTTCCAGTCAACTTGCAACACCTGAGTCTCTGCCTTCAAAAATTAAACTAAATTAAAAGTAATAACTAACTTGTTTAAAGATGAGAAAAATGAGGCACAAGGGTATTAAGCAATGGGTGTCTGGAAGAGGAACAGCACCCCAGTTTCTCTCTCCAGGATCTCCAGGGGACACCACCGGAGTTGGGTTAAGCAAAGGAGAGTGGCAATAATTTTTTTTGACTTAAAACACACACACACACACACACACACACACACAGAGAGAGAGAGAGAGAGAGAGAGAGAGAGAGAGAGAGAGATTTTATTCATTTGTGTGTTTGTGCAGTCAATGTGGACAAGACTCAGGGATGGAACTCAGGCTGTCAGGTCTGGTGGAAAGTATCTTTACCAGATAAGTCATCCTACCTGCCTGAGCCCAGCTAATTAGATGTGACTTGATAACATCAAGAAAGTCAATCAGGGGATGTAGCTGAATTGGTACACTGAATTGCCTCCATGCAAGAAATTGTGAGTTCCACCCCCAGCCCACCCCCCATTGCATACAGGGAGATTGATGGTGTATGCCTGTAATCTTCCACTTTGCTGGTGGAGGCTGGAGGACTAGAAATCCAAGGTTATCCATAGCTACAAAGAAAATTGAAGTCTAGTCTGGGCTTCAGGTACAAGCGACAAGCCACCCCATGTGCTCTTTTAAAGAGCAGATTGCCGTCTCCTCCCGCGTTCCCAATGTGGCAGTTTTTCCTCTTAGGCTGCAGTAGCCAAGCTGTGTCCCACTCTTCCCTTTAAATTTCATCCCTCCCAGGGTCCCCCAGCCCCAAATCCTTAGCCAGCCTCTCTCACCTGCGTAGTGGCGGACAAGGGTACCACAGCCCTCCGTCTTCGGCCAAAGCGAAACTTGGCTGCTTTGTAAATCTTCCAGTAGACGAAGAGCACTACCGCTAGAGGCAAGTAGAAGGCTCCGCAAGTGGAGAAAACGGCATAGGAGGGTTCCTGGCTCACCTGGCAACGCTGCAGCCGAGCATCATAGGCTTCACCCCAGCCAAAGAGCAATGGCGCGAGCGCGATGAGTGCGGACAGTGCCCAGGTGACCCCGATCATGAGCGCGGAAGCGCGCCGCCGGGTGCGCAGCGTGTACTGTAGGTGACGAGTGATGGTCCAGTAGCGGTCCAGGGCGATGGCAGCCACGTTCCAGATGCTGGCCGTGCAGCACAACACGTCAAAGGAGATCCACACGTGGCACAGACTCCTCCCCAGCTGCCAACGTCGTCCAGCCGACAACTCGCTTACCAGGCTCAGGGGCATAACTAGGGCCGCCACAAGCACGTCGGAGACGGCTGTGGAGGCCACCAAGTTATGTGGCACGCGATGGAAGGTGCGGACGCGCAGGATGGTCACCAGAACTAGCAGATTCCATAAGAAAGTGGCAGCGATCAGCAACACCAATAGAGTCACCACGAGCACGGTGAAGATAGAGAAGTGTGGCTCACGGCCAGGCAAGAGGAACCCACCTGGGGTGGACCCCACGCCCCTGTTGGAACTTGGGCTGTCACTGCAGCTCTCCGGTTCCGAGGAAAAGGCCATGCCAGGGGTGGCGCTTGAGAGGCTAGAGACTTCCATTGTTCAGGGACTTGGGCTCTTGGGCAGATGTGTGCGTGGTTGCATGGACTGTGAATAGGTGGTGAAATAGAAAGGGCACTTCGTTCCCTATACCGCAGAGAAGTCTAAATCGCGCCACTCTGGTTCTTTTTCCAAACTGCAGCCTCCCTTTCGCGCTTCTTTTGGTGGTTTTCGTGGGCCCTTTTTTCCAGTTGAGGAAAACGAAAATGAGTGGGACCCCTTAATCCAGCTTTGCCCTTTTGGCTTTGTGGTCTTCGGGGTAACTGGCTGCTGAGGGCTGGGGACCGATGTCTGAGCGCAGGGGTGGCTCAGAGAGACCTCCCATGGATAGTGGCTGGAACCCAGGGGCCCCTGGTGTGGGCTGAAGTGGGCGGAGGAGGTATGGAGCCTCCACCAATAGGAGCTGTAGCTGTAGCGCGGTCCCAGCTGTCTCCCGCCAGGGCGGGTGGAGAGAATCCTAGCAGCGGTCGCCTCCGCCTCCGGGGAAGGTTTTTAACAATCCTGATTCTCTAGCTACTACTTCCGCACATCCCTACTGCGGACTTGGTGGCTCTGTTACACACTGAAGACATCGGAGTTCCAGCCAAAGGCATTGTGGTTTCTCGGAGCCCCGATTCTACCTGTATCCCCGATTCTACCAATATTTGGGAGCAAGAGTCCCAAATATTGGAGTGCGTGAAATTCTGAGCTCAGCTTCATCCTGGGCGCTTGGTTCCCAGCTCCTAGGGAAGGAGGGCTTCTTGGGCACTGGAGTTTATTCCCCTACCCGCCGCGCCTTGTGCAAAAAGCTTCACGCTGAAGCTGTTGGCAGAGATCTGGAAGAGGGATGGTTTCCAACCTGCTCGCCAAACCCCTAACTTCCGGTGCTTCCCTATGTTCGGTTTCTACTAGTACTACCACCCTCTTCCATGTTCAAGCCAGAGGTTTTGTTGTTGAAACTTTAATCTTGTCTTGTAGTGCTGGTGATGAGCCCAGGGTAGGCAAGCGCCCAGCAGCTACTCTCATTTACTCTTGGGGGACGACGGAAAAACCAAACCAAACCAAAAAACACTTGGATGAAATTCTCCTCACCCTCTACCAACATCCCTTTCCCATTTTCATATTTTAAATTATGTTTACATTTTTAAGTGTGTGTGTGTGTGTGAGAGAGAGAGAGAGAGAGAGAGAGAGAGAGAGAGAGAGAGAGAGAAAGAAGAGAGAGAGAGAGTCATGAGGTCAGAGCACAACTAAAGAAACTCAGTGGCCTCTTTCCTCCGTGTGGATCCCAGAGCTGGAACTCACATCTGTGGAATTCAGATATTTAGAATTTAGACTTGGTGCCAAGTGTTTTTATCCAATGAGGCATCTTTCAGGATCCAGTCTCATATTTTAAAAAAGCGTATCAAGGGTGTTGGTGATGCATGTCTTTAATCCCAGTACTCGGGAGGCAGAGGCAGAGGCAGGTGGATCTCTGTAAGTTTGAGGCCAGCCTGATCTACATAGCCAGCTCCAGTACTACAGAAAAACCCTGCCTCAAAATAAATAAATAGTATGTTACTGATCTGTTAGGGACTGAGGAGGCCAAGCTGGGTGTTCAGAGGAGCTACTGAGCTCTGCAAGTTGTTAATGAACCCTCAAGAAGGTGGCCTGGAAAGGTGTCCCAGGCTAAAGCAGGGAAAGGGTCTTCCCCCAGCTCTCTCTGTCTCTGTCTCTGTCTCTGTCTCTCTCTGTCTCTCTGTCTCTCTGTCTGTCTGTCTGTCTCTCTCTCTCTCTCTCTCTCTCTCACACACACACACACACACAAAGTCTATGCATATGTATGCATGTGTGTGGGGTGTGTATGTGTATGTGTGCACGTGAAGGTCCCAGGTTGGTGTCAGCAATGATCTTTTTTTTTAATATGAACTTTTTTAAAAATTTAAGTTCTTTAATTACTACTCATATTTATATATCCATCCCCCCATTCCCTCGCCCTCCCATCCTCCCATGTTCAATCACTCTTATTTATACCTTATTCACTGAGGCAGGGTCTCTCATAACATGGCTATTATCTGTTGCCAGCTTTCTCTGGGAATCACCAGCTCTGCCTCTGCCATCTAAGGCTGAATTATAGGTCACCACACCCAACCTGAATTTACATGAGCTCTGGGGAATCCAAATTCCACTCTTCACAATTGTGTGGCAAATGCTTTACTTGCTGAGCCATCTCTTTAGCCCCAGTAAAAATGGACTTTCTTCTCTAATTCTGCCAGGAACGTCATCCTTGGCACCTGGGCAACCTTGTCCTGCAGGTGCATGATTCAAAGATTATGTCAGGACACATTCCTAGTGATCTTGGGCCACATACAGCCTATGGCTGCAGGTTGGACACTGGGTGATTTTGAGGAAAGTGACGGAATGAAAAGAATCCTTTAAGAGAAATATGTGTGAGATGATACTCTCCCCAGCTTATTGAACAAAGAGCAAGGAAGTTGAAAAGGTGGAAAAATTCACCTTGCACCATATTCATGACACGCTCTTATTCTTAGTCCTTGATCCTCTCTCCACATACATTTTTCATGCCCAAAATCAATTTTTTATTTTCCCATTTCCCTTAATATTTTTCATGTTACTATATATTCTCTTTGTAGTTTTTTTTAATGCCATACCATTTATCACTTGAAAGACCTTGAGCAACATAGGGTCTCTAAGACAGCCATCTTATCTTTTAAAAATGGGGATAATTGAGGCTGGAGAGAAGCTCACAGATTAAGAACACTTGCTGTTCTTGTGGAGGATCTGAGTTTAGGTCCCATCAGACATGTAAGACAGTTTACAACCACCTTTAACTCCAGCTCCACATGACCAGTTACCCTCTCAGGTACAGACTGGACAAGTTGGCTGGACCCAGCAAAAGCCCCCCTAAATGTGGACTACGATAATGGGTCACTCTGGGAACTATTGTATCAAGTGAGATGACTAAGACTAAGAAATAGAGACACTGCATGTTCTCTCTTCTACATGGATCCTGGCTTTCAATAGTTATATGTATGTATATGAGAAAGTGACTGCAGGCTAGGAAGCCAGACAGAAGACCACAGAGGGGAAAAGAGGTGTTGAGGAAGAGAGGTGAGGGGACAGCCAAAAAGAGGCCGCTAGGAATGGGAGGGAGTGAGGGGCACAGGGCCACTAGGGAAGTGGAAGAGGAAATAAACAAAGACAAATTTTGTTTGAAAATACCACAATGAAACCTAACACTTTGTTTTTTGCTTTATTTTTAAGATTTGTGTGTGTGTGTGTGTGTGTGTGTGTGTGTGTGTGTGTGTGTGTGTGTGTGGATGTAGGTGCCTGCAGAAGCCAGAAGAAGGTATTGGGTCCCCTGGGCTGGAGTTACAGGTGTCTGTGAGCTGCCAGACATGGGTTCTGGGAACTGAACTCTGGTTCTCTGCAACAGTGGCAAATGCTCTTATTCACTAAGCATCTCTCCAGCCCTGAGACCTAATATCTTCTGCACTAATAAAAATGAATAAAAAGGGAGACAAATAAGATGTACGTAGAACATGTTTACCACTTTTATTCAACTGGGCCTTTCATCTCTCCAGACCTCCCATGTCTCCTGTGATGATCTTTCATGCTGTTATTAAAAAAATTCATTGTTTGATATTGTTGCTCTTGTGTGTTCTTCCAGATGGTTCTTAATATTATTTTATCAAGCCCATTTCCTGTTTCATCAGCTCTTAGACATTAACTACAAAGAAACTGCTCTTCTGCCCCAGGCTCAGCTCTCATGGGACCTGGAATCTACCAGGACTTGGACTCAGGAAGCCAGCATGCAGCAGGGGCCTGTTTCTGCCTCCCCACCAGATGGTAAGTTCCTAGTGGATGTGGCCAGGGCTCTCCACAAAGCTGCCCACTGGAGGCCTGGTTTATACCAAGCAAACAAGAAAGAAAGAAAGAATGGAGGAGGGAGGGAGGGAAGAAGGGACCTAACACCAGCTCACTAAAGACAGAGGCTATTTCAGGGTGTTGCAGGGCATCAGGGAGGCAAGTAGTCTTAAAGAGTGAGGAAAATAATATCAGGGATTATGAGATCAAAAGAAGTAAATAACCAGAAGGAGAGAAGGCAGGAGAGCCAGGAGTGCAGCTCAGTTGGCAGGGTACTGGCCAAGCATGCACAAAGCCCCAGGGTTCCGTTTCCAGTACTATATAAACTGGGCATGGGGGCAAACACCTGTGATCCCAGCACTCAGGCGGCAGAGGCAGAGGCAGAAGGGTCAGGAGTTCAAGTCAATCCCAGCTACATAGTGAGTTCAAAGTTAGACTGGGAAACATGAGATGTTGACTTGGGGGAAGAGGGGAGGAAGATATAGAAAGAATATAGAAACAAAAAGAAAGGAATAAAATTGTTTTTAATTTCATATTTTAACATTTGCAGTGAAAAGATACACTTGGCAGGGGGAATCACTCCTGTGGTACAACTGATACAGTGGCTCCCTAGGATTTACTGGTCTCACACTTGAGCACATCAGTTACCTGGAGCAGTAGCTAACAGGCAGGTCCTGCTGGGGACCAGGATGTTCTACTTCTAACAAGCACCCAGGGGCTGCTGCTGTTCAGGAATACACGGTGACCACCATTCTAGGGTAGTGTGCTGAGTCATTCACTTCCACTTCCATTGTCTACCTTTATTTACCCGCACTGGATGACACTGCTAAATACTCCATGCCAATCACTGCACTGATTACTCTGTGTAAAACGCTATGAGGTATTTTATAAAAATACCATGTTAAGTGTTCTTTATCAGTCACTGTGCTAAACACTCCATGGAAGTCATGCAAAGTAACCATGTAAATCATTTTCACAACCTTAACTTTTATTAAATATCTTCTTTGACAATTTCAGACATGGAGTCCATTCTGACCACTTTCACCCCCTAGTCTCCTTCCTTCCTATTACTCCCCTTCCTTACAAGTCTCTTTTCCATATTCATGTTTTGTTTCTGTGACACAGTGTGTTTATCAGTGGCTGTCTCTGTGACATGG